GCATTTTCAATGCTTATCACAAGTCACATTCTCTTCAAGGAATGGATCATAATCAGCGACGTGCTTTATTATTTTTCATAAAAATTTGATGGTAAACATTGCCTTCACATTTTGAAGGACTATTTTGAGAACTCTTATTGTTCTCCTTTTATAATCATAGTGATGATTATTATTATTTTGATCTTTGAAACGCCCACGTTCATTATTTAACCACTTGTCTTCATTTAGACTTATTATGCGCCACTACCACATTCACTTCAAGAATGGAGCAAATCAAGTGGGACAATATTCATGCCTTTTCATGAGAAATATATTATTTTTCTTTAGTCATCATTATATCATCAATATGGTATAGTGGGACTCAAACCCAATGTCTTACCAATATAAAGGCATGTTAAGCCATAATGAATTGGGACTCGAACCTAACTCTTATCATCATGATACATCGAGACTCACACCCGACCCTCATGGTAAAGTGGACTTGAATCTACCGCTTTGCACTCTACCAACGAAATAATAGGCATGGTGCATAAGGACTCCCCCTCGAGCCTACCACTTTTGGTGGTTATAGGGACACAGTCACTGGCGAGTCATTCTGAGTAAAATTATTATCACTTCTAGATTCAAATAAACTTAGATAAAATTGCAAAGAAACGCTACTTACCTCCACTGCAATCATGCCAAAAAGAAATGCATTGTGGTTAATATAAATGGTTACTATTTATTTTTCAGAAAAAGGAATATAAACCAGGAGATGAATAGCTACGATGAAGTGCATCTCTTATGCAAGCATTGTCTACTATTTATTAAAAATATAGCTCAATATGTATTTAAAATCATAACTTCTCAACTTTTATTAATTATTAATCATAAGAAGTTTCTGATTTAAGAACTATTCTACACAAGAATATTTGAAGTGTATTGTTTTTAATGTCATATATTATGTGATGGCAGTAACATATTTGTGGATACATAAATCCATAAAGTACAAATTGCATAAATTAAAATTACACAAACCATACCTTCTTGGAAACATAGTGAAATATAGCATAAAGGTTTGTGTGTTACCATAAGTTGTATGCTATGCCAATGTTACCTTTAAGCTATACCAACAAATGTTGTGATATCAAATATACTGCTTAAGTTTCCATCCCATTACATCTTTAATTTATGATGATGCCGTCTCTTCTATTTTCGATACAGAAATTCTTGAAGAAGGAAGAGATCAAACTCAATTGGTTAGAAACTAGTGCTGATAACGTGTTATAAAATATAACTCAAAGTAACAATATAGAACTAGAAAAAATAAGCTAAGAGATATAGAGAGAAAGAGTATGAAATATAGCTCAAAGTAACAATATAGAACAAGAAATAACAATCTCTTCTCTCTTTCTCTCTATATCTCTTAGCTTATTTTTCCTTGTTCTATATTGTTACTTTGAACTATATTTTATAACAGAAATTCCTTTTTTTATTTAAATAAACGGAAGTGGGCTTTTAGCCCAATCTAGAAGAACTGTCCTTTTTATAAAATAACTTTAACCTCTGAAGCCCATGTTCTTTATTCATCTGGCAGCCCATTAAACATTTAAAAAAAGAGGAGCGAAACCCTAATTCCTCTTAGTTTCACCTCTATGTTTCAGCCACTTCAGCCATGGAGAAACTTTCTCTTCCTTTTTTTTTTTTTAAATTTCAAATATTAAAGAATAGGGTTTTAGGAAGATGTCATTTTCCTCTACAAGGGTTAGCCGACGCCACTCACTGGAGCATGAACTCTGCCGCCACCAGCCTTTCTCATAGTTGAAAGAAACTTTTATTTCTTTGAAAGAAACTTTTATTTCTTCTTTTTTTTTCTTTGCCATGGCCATGGAGCACCTAGCTCCTACATTTTATTTATTTATTTATGGTTGTTTGGCTATCAAAACTCTTGGATCAGTTTTAAGCCGATTCTGAAATGGCTTCAAGAGCAACCACCGTCCGTTTGATGGTGGCCGGCGGTGTCCCTTTAGCCGCGTTCAACGACAATAGGCGGAAAAACTGTTAACAAAAACCCTTTTTCTTTTTTTTGTTCAGTTTCTTAAGAAAAACTGGAAAAAAAATCAGATTATAAAAAATTGTCAAAGACTGATATAAAACTTATTTCAAATCAGTAAGAAAAAATTGTATACGTCCAAAACAATCATTCACTGATTTACTCAAAAACAGTGGTAAAACTTTTATACACTAATTCAAATCTTTATTCTAAATCAGGGTATAAGACAATTTTAGGTAGCCCAATTTCTCATAGAACACACAAAATAATATAGACACGTAGTTCTTAGATTCACTCAGAGTAATAGAACTATTCGATATTTTTCGGAAAACCAGCCGGTGGATTTGATACCAATGAAGGAACGCGTTAAACTAAACACATTAGATTAGCGCGTAAATTGTAAAATGAGAACTTAATTGTTCTTGTAGCGGAAGCGGAAGGAACGGACGAACCGTGACTGGAATTACTGATCGGCGGTGATTGTCATAGTGTGTTGGAGTAACCCCTATTACACAGTCTAAATCCTAGTCTGACTTTAGGAGAAGACTAGACGTGGGAAAATACTGCAGAGCATCAATTTTATTGTACACAAAGTGTACTTATATAGGAGATACCAAGGTTAACTAATAACCCCGTTGGGCCTTAAAGCACCCTTTATGGGTGAACCCAAAATTTCCTACACCGAGTTACTCGGTATTATTAGTGTTGGTGAGATATAACAAGTATCGGTACCAGTGGTCGAGCCAAAATTTTTACTAAGGGAATTAAAAACATAAAAAGTAAACACACGAAGAAGCCAAGGTGATTCAACATATATTTATGTACATAAGAAAATAATTTTGACCTTGTATATACAGTATAATTTTCGAAGAAGGGGTTCAAATGAACCCCGAACCCCCTTCTGCCCCTTAGCTCCGTGAAATAATCAAGTGTACTAGTTGTCTCGACATTGGTATGAAATGAGATTTGTGTTACTATCCCTATAAAACTTTAGGGGTGGTTTTCTAACAGGCAGAGTTACTCTATATTAGTGTTAGTTAGAGATAACATAAACTTGTGAAATAGCCAAAATACGATCAAACTGTTCCGGACACTATTGTTATAAAAAGAAAGACAGACAGAATGAAAGAAACTCTAAGGGTGGTCCCATTTGGAGTAGATGTTACATGGTGTGGGGGGAGTCCAAAACCTAATTGTGTATTTTTGGATTCAAGTGACCATAATAGGTTAAAAAAAAAAGAGACTGGGCACTATTATATGTATAGTGCGGTTATTCACCGCGCTATACCTTAATGACACGTTTGTCCGTTAAGATATAGCGCGGTGAATAACCGCTCTATATTTGAATTTAAAATGGGCGGGAAGGTATGACGCGCATAAATACCTATATAAAAAAACGTGCCCTTCTCCTTCCCCACCAGACGCGAACCAACAGCCCTCCTTTTCAATTTTTTATTCCACAACAGCCCCCCTCATTTTCAACGAAAAAAGCTTCATTGGAGCCCACCGGTCCCACAAAAAGTGTAGATTCTCGGTATTGTAGCAAGCTAACATCGTATCAAAGGCATTATCGCATAGTGGGTTGCTCGTTTCGGCTCCAAATCATCAAATCTTCAACTTTCAACAAAATTAAAATCGAGGTATTTCAACTTATTTTTTGTTAAAATTCATGTATAAAAAATGCCTATTAATTATTTTTTATTGTGTTCTATGTTATTTCGTAATTGTTTTACGATTTAATTAATTTTTTATCCGGATTATATTATTAGTGTGCTAATAAAAGTAGTAAAATAGAGAAATTATTATTTTATGAATAATTAATATTTTTAGTTGTTATAAAAAATGGTAATTAGTTATTTTTTACTGTGGTATATGTATTTTCATAATTTTTTTGTGATTACATCAATTTATTATTTTTCATCCGGATTATATTATTTATGTGATAAAAGATTAGTAAAGTAGATAAATTATTATTTTAGGAATAATTAATCTTATTTAGATGTTATTGTTGTACATATATTAATATGTGACTTTAATATTGTTTAGTTCCCTGTAGTGTTATATTGTGCCCATAATTATAATGTAGTGCTCTTTAGTGTAGTAAAATATAGTGCCCTTTTACGTAGTATCTTTGTGGTGATTGAAATTAATCATTTAGTTATCTATTTAGCCCCAAAACTATCTGAAAAAAAGATGATAGTTCAAATACAAACTCTCTCGAATTCTAGTCAACAAACTTAAGAAAATAACATTTAAAAATAACAATATTTATCAAAATAAGTATTTTTATATGAACATTTAATAATTAAATCATGTATAGTTATGAAAATTAATTATTTAATTCTATTATACTAAAAAATAAGTGAGTAAAAAAACAAATATATACAATAATAAACATATAAAATAAACTAACATACAAATAAGAAACTAACATATAAAATAATAAACAAACATATAAAATAGTAAACTAATATATAAAATAATAATGTAACATATAAAATAATAAATTAACATATAAAATGATAAACCAACATATAAAATAATAAATTAACATATAAAATTATAATATAGAAAATGTATCAACCTAAGTAACAATATAGTAAAAATATCGAATAAATTTTAATATTACAGATATTGCAATAAATTTAAAGATGTCAAGCAATTAAAAATGAAAAAAACTTTAATTAATATTGTTCAATTTACAGTCATCGTCATGGAGGTTCCGCTTGTGCATCCCGGACCTGCATCCCTAGAGCTACTGTTGCTACAAGCCGAGAATAGGTCTTTATACATATGGGATGGGCAGTGTTTGTCCCAGATATTCCGCGCCAGACGTATAGACGATATGTGAGAGTTCATTAGGGACCACCTACTCCATCCCCGTATAGTTAGACGCCTTCAGGATACGGGTTTCTATAGGATCATAGAGATCGGCCGATTGAAATTCGACTGGGCGTTGATCAGGGCTATGATAGAGCGGTGGCAACCAGAGACGCACACGTTTCATCTACCCATCGGCGAGGTGAACATCACGCTTGAAGACGTGAAGGTTCTTTTCGGGCTGCCGGTTGATGGGTTACCTGTAGCTTACCCGCATGCTCTCAGAGACTATACGGGATTGCATTACCTGCATATGTTGCAGCGGCTCACCGGATTCCAGCCAGCGGAGGAGACGGCATTGAGTGGAGCCACTCGTTTGCAGCTGACGCTCGTCCAGCAGCATCTGGAGGCGATGAATGCGGAGATTACGGATGATTCACCGTCGGAGTTTATCGATCGACACACGAGATTGGTGTTGCTGCTGATGTTTGGTGGTGTAGTGTTCCCTAACATTTTGGGAAACCTAGTTAGTTTGAGATTTCTACATCATCTTGAGCGGCTAGATGATTTACCTGGTTACAGCTAGGGTGCAGTTGTTCTAGGTTACCTGTGTAGGCAGATGTGTTGGGATCCATGGGCACCCAGAGAGACGTTGCCGGATTTTTACCGCTGCTGCAGGTGAAAACATAGTCAATTCTTTTCATGATTATAACATACATAGGGTGAGAATATCTTAAATTTTATGTCCACAATCTATATTAGGTTTGGGCCTGGGAGCGATTCCTGCAGTTCCAACCACCTCTAACACCCATCACTCCGGATGTACCACCTCCACCATTTCTTCCTCTTGGAGGTGGGTTGATAGGTGAGGATACGAGCGTGAGGTCGAGGCTCGACATCATCTCCCCTATTACAGAGATTTGTTGGATTTGCTTGAAGGCATGCAAGGTACATGTATTCTTAAGTTTACTTGGCCTGGCTTTATATGTGTTGTGTTTACTCACGATTCCTGTATTTTATTAATAGTTCTTAAAGAGGCCATACAACGACGTGCTCATAGCTGGTTTGCTCGATTATTGCTCCTGCGGCCGAGCTATGTGGAGCTCTTCTATCCTACTGATATGTCTCGATATTGTCGAGCATCATGCCACCGAGTGAGTCCCTCGCCAATTTGGTCGACCGTAGCTTGTACTTATTCCGCCCGCTTGGCTTAGGACACATTACTAGCGGGATGATCGTTCCAGGGTTGACCAGACATACTTGGACTGGCTAGAGGCCCAAATTAAGCTTTGGGACCAGAGGTATGACCTGATTCCTCCACCCCCTGCACCTGAGCGTATGGATGGCGAGCATGAGTATATGGGATGGTATCGCAGCGTTACCCGACTTCATGTCGGGAATCCCGTTCATTGCGTTGGTGGTCGGTATATTCCATACGCTGGGAGGCATGAGGCACAGGTATGCTATTTGTTATACTTACTTATAACGTTAAATTATCATTACGTAATTAATATTTGACATGTTATGCATGCTATTGGATTACATCAGTTCTACCATCTGGGACTGCAGATGCTGTAGCATACCGACGAGGGAGCGGCAGCTTTGCACTAGTATGGCTATCAGGTTACAAATCTGGCTGCCCGGATATTGAGGCGTGCCCGAGATCATGAGCGATTAGGATACGAGGCTGCTTACGTGCCGCAATAGAACTACCATCGCGGGCCACCAGTGGAGCTTGAACGTGGTAGATGTGGCAGGCGTAGCGAGAGAGGAAGGGGTGTCCCACGAGGTCGTGGTGGTCGGCGAGGACAGGGTCCCCCGCAAAGGGGCGTTGAGGCACCCGTGGAGGATATTAGAGATGATCAGCCGGGTCCTCATCATCATCACCCTCATCAGGGAAGGGTGTGTCATCTCTAGACTCATCAGCATTGTTGTCATAATCACTATTCTCTTCAAGTTGCTCGTTTTCACTGCACAACCAATAAAATAATGAGTTTCTTAAATTCATCCAAACTTTATATATAAACTTTATCACTTCACTTACAAATCATAATGTGTTGATATCCCATGATGCACATTATCCTGTTGATGATGACTCCCGAATGGACCACCATGATCCAATATACCAAAACTAGGCATATTCCAACTGGCCGTTGGTTCACAACTTGTAAAATTCATATCTGGCCGGTACCCCCTATGGAATATATGAGTGTTAATACAAATTCAATAGATAAAAATAAACATCGTAACACAAAGGACAATTGAAGTTTACCACTCGGCTTGTGGATTATGTAAACTGGAGGAGAAATTATTTCCTCGCTCCTCATTCGCCCGTGGAGATAAGTTTAGATCAGGCCAAACTCTTTCACCCGCAACTTTTTCGACTAAAACTGCTCCAAAATAACCACCTGATGATTGAGGAATATCCTTACTTTGCGGAACCTCATTATTGCGAACGTCTTCAGCCTTGACGTACATTTCCAATATTTTTATCACAAGAAGTTTCCGGTGTTCATTCGGAGTCCTAAAAAAATCTTTCAGAGTTTCATCGTCTTCAATATTAAACTCAGCATAACAAGCAACCCCTTGCGGAGTAACAGAATACGGATATCTTCCGGTTATTTTAATATTTACTNCCCCCCCAAATATAATGAAACCCTAATTTTTCGCTCTTCGATCAGATATTATGACAAAATGCAAAATAACTTAACGAACAAATATTTCGGAAGACTTGATGGATCCTGAATGGATTTTTATAAAATTCTGAAACTCCTTAAATAAGGAAAGATCTAGTCCCGTGGGTACGATTATTTGATGTATAACGCCTTAAATATGCGCGCTATACCCCTATGAATTATTGGTATGTCAGTTTTGAGTAGATGAATTATTGGTGGGCCCAACTTTTATATATAGCACGGTTATTCACTGTGCTATACCTTAACGGACAAACGTGCCGTTAAGGTATAACACGGTAAATAATCGCGCTATATATAAAATAGTGTCCAGTCTTTTTTTTTTTTTAAACCTATTATGATCGCTTGAGTCCAAAAAAAATCCCCAATTAGGTTTCGGACTCGTGTGGGGGAGATAATGCTAGTTCCCATTTCCTTTTCTATTGCCGGGAAATAAGATCCTCAGTAAAAGACCAGAGATTTTGTAATCAGAAACTCAGATCCCCATGAGGAAGAAGAGAGCTTGTCAACTGTCATCAGTCATAACACAAAAAACTCAAATCTGTTGTTTTTGTGTTATCTTTAGGTGCATTATTATTATTATTATTATTATTATTATTATTATTATTATTTGTTTTCTCTCTGTCAGAAACTATATATAACCAAGTAATCTCTTTTGCTTTATTATTTCCGGTTCAAGTACTTGTTTGTATCCTTGCATTGTCATAGCATAAAACATGAGATTGTACTCTGTTCTTTTTACAGTTAAATTTTGGAGCGACAGATTTTCAAAATTAAGTCATTACTTTTCCAGTAGCCGTGCTTTTGTTTACCTTATTATGCAAAGAGGTGAAGCAAAAGGGGAAATTCAGGTAAAAGAGGGCCCAGGGCCCATGCAAATGCTCAAAGACAAAGTTCGTGGTGGGCACCCATCCTAATTAAAATCTTTTCAGAGAAACGCAACTATCAAACACTCCCCCCACCCACGTACCGTTGTTTGGTGGTGGAGGCTCTATGTTCACCAACAAAATAAATTACTCACTTTAAATATTCACATCAAATTAATGAATGTATTATTTTATTTTTTAGGTAAATTTGTGTCTCTTAACTATAGTATTAATGTGTTGTCTTTTTTTTTTTTTCCTTTTCTTTTATAGGAATAGGATAGTGTAAAAGTCCCATCTTTATCAAGCACATAAATATCTATTCGACGTCTTCTCGGCATTTTATCTATTTGTGGATCTTTATTTAAGTTTTATGGCGGATTGTGTATTATACAATCATAGTCAAATTATAGAATATGAAAGAGCGAGAGCGAGAGCTTCCACGGACAATTTTTTTCGATGAGCGAGAGCTCCCCTTCCAAATACAAACAAATATATAAATATAAATAAATTAATATGAAAGAGTCGTAAATGAAAATAAAGTAGTCATACTAGTACGAGCAATTTGTGGAGGATAACATGTGTCTGACTTCATAGAAAGGGTCAGCTATCATGCAAAACCAGTATAGAACAAAAGGGATGTGTCAAATCAGTCATTTCGCCATTGGCCCCTCTTTTTTCTCACAATTGACTTCAGCCATTTTGGATGATTTTCTCTGGTTTAACATTTTAATTTATATACTTTTCGAAAATGCCAAAATATTACTTATACCATGTCCACAAAATCAGCAATACATACGCTTCCATTCCAGAAACAGAAAGAAAAAGAAATATTAGAACCACTATATAAAGATGCAATGAACGGTGAGGTTGTAGAGTTTTCTAGCACTTGCAATTTTTCTTAATCACCAAAACAGAAAACAATGACGTCTTGTAATTTGACTTCATCTCATGAAATGACTTTATACAGGCCTGAAAGGCGATAGTTTGAAAATTAAGTTCAATTCCTGGAACCCAAAAAATATACAGTATTCGTTACATTTTACCTGTAAATTAGAAAGTGATATATTACGTGTATTTGTGTATAACTGTGAATGTGTTTTTAAGATATATCCCACTTTATAGGAAGATAGATATCTAGTGTCATATATCAAGATTCGACACTATAAGGATAATATCGTTATTTTATCTGTTAGGACACTAGACCCAAACGATATATATTTACCAAAGAGGTCACTGGCTCACTGCTAAATAATTTTTTTTAAGTGCATCTGTATACGGTCAAAATTAGATTCGCCTCTTGTGTGACTAATCGAGACTGAAATATGGTAGGTTAAAGTTCAACCTCGAATTATATCGAATCGAGGTGCGAAACTATATCGTTAAACTCGAGACCGTATCATCGAACAAAATCGAGATCAGACGAGATCGAGGGAAATTTGCCAAGCTGAATAACAGAAGGACGAAATATCCCCGATCGGTTGTAGATCGCAGCGAAAATCTCGGCACGTATCAAGGATAGGCCGATTGATTAGCAAATCATGAGATTTCTTACCTTGTATAGAATTGTATCAAGAGTAGGACTCCCTTACTATATAAAGGGGGTCTGATCATTTGTAAGGGGGAACACATTACGCAACATAAAGTAATATAATGTCATTTTCTAGCTTTTATCATCTTGTTATTTTGTTCGTACATCAGTTGAGACATCTCTTGGATCAAGGGTGATCGAATTCGAGGGCCAAGGGTGTTCGATTTGGTAAACAGTTTGGCGTAAGGCTGTTCGATTCGTGTGGTTTGCATTAATTCTTTTATCGTCAATTTCAATTTTAATCTGTTTCCTTAATTTGTATCAAGTTATATCACGTATCCTTAAAAATACGTATAAATTTAATTGCTATCCGATAGTTAGAGTAAACAGTTTAGCGCCCACCGTGGGGATAAGGATAATAGTGATTACCTGGTACAAACTTTCATAGCACACACTATTTTACATTTGTTCTTTGGAGTATCTTTGATTCCATGACCAAAATGTCGAATTCTCACTCAGCACCCCCACTCGATATGCTCCTTCCGAGTTGCTTCTAACGCGGTCTGAAGCTTCTCACTCAGAAGCTTATAAGTATCCCTCTTCTTGGTAAACTCCCGAACCTCAGCCTCATGTTGGGTTAACTCCTCTCGAATTCGGAGGAAAGCCTCATAGTGCAATACCGAGGCCTGAAAGCGTAAAGAAAGGTGTTAGGATTATTTACAACTTCAAATTTAAAATAAATAATGGAGTGACACTCGAAGTTACCCGATTCAAAGTGTGTTGGGCCTCATTGAATAGGTAAGACGCTTCCACCGCGTCCATCACGACTTGGTCCTCTTCGGTCACCAAGCAACTAAGGTAGCTAGCAACCCCTACGGGGGAAGCGAAAACTCGGGCATCCTCCGGGATAGAGAAAACTATCGACCGCCTGCGGTCAGGGTTAACATTTGGGGCCGGGAATCGATCCACCAGCTTTCGGCTCGATGAAGACCCACTGGAACCCGATGATGGTACCTTCCTTGGCATCGGAAAGACACCAAGCCCGGTGACATCTTCTGAGGTAGTGGACTCTAACCCATCCAAGAAGTTGTAGATATCAGTCGCCCCCTGAGGCCCCTCATAAGAACAACCTTCTAGCATACTGGCCTCGCGTATCATGGCGTCTGAGATCTGAGGGGACCCGATAAGGTCGATCGCCCCAAGACCGTCCCTCGGGGCACCTCCCTCTGCACGAGAAGTGTTGGCCCTGGTCTCTCTCTCGACCTCCCTAGCCTAGGGCAAAGCAGCCGCACCCCGTTCCGGTTCGCAGGTACCTGCCAATGCCTTCTCAATGACCTCCTTAGTTCGAGGCAAAGCGGTCCGCACCCGAGCCACTAGCTCAGAGTTATCTTCTTCTTCTTCGAACTCATCCCTCAGTCGGCGGATCGAGTCCGATGGGAGGGCGCTGGTACTTTCCTTAGCTTTACGCGCCAGCCTCTTCTTTGGTTCTTT